ATCATTTCCCTAATCTAACATGGCAGAAATATCTTCTTGATAGTTTTCTTCCCAGCTCCAAGACTCATCCTCTTGAAACACTACATCCCTACTCACTATAATGCGTCTTGAAATGGGATCGTACAACTTGTAGGCCTTTGATTCCTCACTGACCCCAAGGAAGACACATTCGAGAGTTTTTTCATCCAATTTGGTTCGCTTTTGATCTGGTACACATGTATAAGCCAGGGCTCCAAATACACGAAAATGATCAATTGATGGTATTGTGTCACTCCAAGCTTCTTCTGGAGTTTTGTTTTGAACTGCAAGAGTAGGGCTCCGATTCAACACATGTACAACTCAATTCACAGCTTCTGGCGAAAGGCTCTTTGGAATTTTCTTTCCAAACAACATGCACCGTACCATATTCATGATAGTTTGATTCTTCCTTTCGGCGACTCCATTTTGTTGCGGAGTAAAGACAGCCATCAATTGTCTCCAAATGCCATGAGTAGCACAAAAATTGATGAATTCTTGTGAGGTGAACTCACCACCTCGATCAGTACGCAGTCCCTTCACACAAGCATTAGACTCCTTCTTAGCATAGTTTTTGAACTTTATGAATGCAACCACGGCTTCAGATTTTTCAGAGAGAAAAAACACCCATGTTTTGCGACTGTAGTCATCAATGAAAGCTAGAACATACCTCTTTTGGTTGTTGGAGATGGGATTAATAGGACTGCAAATGTCCGCATGAATCAATTGGAGTTTCTTTGAGGCTCTCCAAGTGCTTTGTATTGGGAATGAATCTCTTTGTTGCTTTCCTACCAAACAATCTTCACACACCTGAGATTGACCTTTCAGCTTTGGCAAGCCACTCACCATCTGCTTTCTCTTGAAGAACTTTCAGCCCTTTATAATTCAAGTGCCTGAACCTACAATGCCATAAATGATCTAGATTTTGCATGATAGAGTAGTGACAAAGTGGGCTTTGAGGTTGACACTTGGAAAGTAGAATAAACATTCTGTTTAGGGACATGTGTGTCTCCATAATCAAGCCTTTCTCTGGGTAGAAAATCTTACACTTGTTGTTGTGAATTAAAATTGCAAGTCCCTTCCCGTGCAATTGACCAATGCTAAGAAAATTATTTTTCAAAGCTGGAACATAAAATACCTCAGTGATGACTAGGTCAAAACTCTTTACTTGCAGTCTTATGCTTCCTTTCCCCATTACTGCCAAAGATGTGTTATTGCCAAGCTTTACTGATTCTTTAAAAGAAACATCAAGAGAATCAAAAAGATTTTTCTGCCCACACATGTGGTTGCTACATTTGAAGTCGAGACACCATGCAGATTCTTCGTCATCTTTGTTGACATCAACATAAGCCATCAAAAAGCATTTCATCCTTTGCCTTGTTAGTCTCTACAAAGTTTGTCGTGCCTAAGTTTCCTTGTTTCTTCGGACACTCGTATTGGTAGTACCCTAGGTCATGACAATGATAGCATTCAATGACAGACTTGTCAAAGAATGGTTGTATCCCTCTTCCTTTATCTCTGGATGGAGATCTTGTGCCTCTGCCTAGAGATCCAGTACAACCTCATCCCTTTTGCCCATGCGAATCTTCATGAGTCACCTTCAAAACCTACTCCTCAACATGGTGGCTTTGCATCCATTGTTCATGGACCAATAAACTACTCTGTAAAGCATCGATGGACATGGAATCCAAATCATTGGACTCTTCAATGGAGCATGCCACATAATCGAATTTGGAAGTCATAGACCACAGAATTTTCTCAATCACAAGTATGTCGTCCATTTTTTTGCCATGAATTCTCATCTTGTTAACAATGATGAGAGTTCTGGCAAAATAGTCATCTATAGTTTCTCCTTCTTTCATGTGGTGAACCTCGAACTCTTTGTGCAAAGCCTAGAGTTGAGCACGTTTCACCCAGGCAAAACCTTGGTCTTTCTACTTTAAAGAATCACATATTCCTTTAGAGGTCTCCTTGTTCAAAATGGTCTCAAGAATGGAGCGATCAACAACTTGAAAGAGATCATTCTTGGCCCTGATACCTTTGAGCTTCATGTCTCCCAGTGTCTTACATTGCTCATCACTCATAGTCCTCTCCTCTGCTGCGGCAGGAACACGTTGGTCAACGACGATCCAATATTCTTTGGAACGTAGAAAATTTTTCGTGAGCATACTCCAGTGATCATAATGCCCATCAAACTTAGGAATTGGTGGTTGAACGAAATTTCCTCCCTCCATCGCCATGCTGGTTTTCGATCACTTGCGGTGGGCTTTGATACCAAATGTCTGGTGTATAAGTGAAATAATGTTTAAACGTGAAAGAATAGGGGAATGCTTTCTCTAATTATTCAACAAAGAACTATTGGGCTTATATAGCCTTACAACAAGAAGAAAAAAAATAGAGTCCACATAAATCATGGACTAAACTAGTGCTTACTGAATAGGTCAAAAATAAATCAGGCTCTCTAACTAATAGGAGTTATTAACAAACAGGAATATTAATCCCACAAAGTAGGAACAATCAGTCAAGCACGTAACCACAATCCTTAACAAAAATTATGTTTTTTAATTTTATTTACCAAATGTTATATCTCAAATTTATTTTTATTATCATTTAAATACTGTAATTTACTATTTAGAAAATACGGAGAAAAAACGTATTAAGGGATAATTAATCTGCCTACCCAATTCATCCCGACCCTCCGTTTTAAGTTGATGAAATGGTTGTAACTTGCTTACCATAGGAATTAAGAATCAAAGATTAAGGTAGTATACGACGTCGCATCCTGGACGAGATGAAGATCCGACGACGTTTCTTGTTTGAAAAGTCAAACAATTTTGATGCTTTTTCAGAAGGTACAAGTCGGCGAGACATATCTATAAGTAAGGGTTTTCACATTAATATATATAGAGAGCTCTTCACTGCTTTTACTTTGGGGCGAAAGTCGTGAACTTGGAAGCTTAAAAGGAAGATGGAGAACGGAGGACACGGTGAAATCCCTGAAAACGCCAACGAACGTATGTTTTTTTTTTATCTACAAATTGGATATTATTGGTTGATAAAATTTTCTTGAATTTTTAGAAATCCTTTTGGCTTGGTTGTTGTTTCAGATTGCCCAGGGCCTCAATCGGAGTCTGCTGGAAAATCTGATGCCTGCGACGGTTGCCCTAATCAACAAGTTTGTGCTACTGCCCCTAAAGGCCCAGACCCAGGTTCTATCTCTCTCACTCTCTGTATCTATATGTGTTTATATGCGTATAGATGTGCTCTTGAAGGATGATTTTTGTGTAGAATTTATTGACTTAGACTGTTATCTGTAGTTGGCCCTATTGATTTTTCTAAGACGGGTTGATTTCGTAATGACTTTGTAGTTTATAGATGTAAGGGGTAGAAATCGCTACGGATCTCATCCCTCCACTTGAAGGATTCCGGCTGACCTGGCGGCACCGAGCCCCAGTAGCCTTTACCTCTCTTCGTCAATAGGACCCTTTCCTAAGGCAATCCCACATCGGAAGAGAGTCGTCTTCCCCCCTGCAATATAAGTGAACACTTTCCTATGGAGGAGGTACCCACTAGCGACCTGATCAGGTGCCTAGTGGGTACCTCCTCCATAGGAAGTGTTCACTTATATGGCAGGGGGAAGACGACTCTCTTCCGATGTGGGATTGCCTTAGGAAAGGGTCCTATTGGCGAAGAGAGGGAAAGGCTACTGGGCTCGGTGCCGCCAGGTCAGCCGGAATCTTTCAAGTGGAGGGATGAGATCCGTAGCGATTTCTACCCCTTACAATCTAGTGGGTACCTCCTCCATAGGAAAGTGTTCACTTAGACGACTCTCTTCCGATGTGGGATTGCCTTAGGAAAGGGTCCTATTAGCGAAGAGAGGGAAAGGCTACTGGGCTCGGTGCCGCCAGGTCAGCCGGAATCCTTCAAGTGGAGGGATGAGATCCGTAGCGATTTCTACCCCTTACAATAGTGATCACCGGGGTGCTGACAAGGTCAGTTCCTCTCTGTTCGTGATAGGAAAAAAAGAAATTGATGATTTTTTTCTTTTGACTTGAGAAGCCTAAAATAGTTAGATTTTATTAAATTTAAGGAATTTTGACCTCTTCCAATAAATAATTATGTATGGATGACATGATTCTAGGTGTATAATTTTATCCTGAGAAAGTCTTATCGAAAAAAGAAATTTATGCTGAGAATGCCAATCCCCTTGGAAAAAAAAGGTCATTGTGAAATTGAATGTTGATATTGGATTCTTGAGTTTGAAGAAGTTTTGCATGTAGAGAGAGCAAAGATAGAAACCGAATGACAAGATAGCACAGAGGGATAACGAGGTTCAGGCACTCAGGCGTTACATTCTCAGACCAAATGGCTTAAGGGATACAACTATATTATTGATGTCGTTGATGATAATTGTATACATGCAACGGGATCTCTAGCATGTCTCTTGCACCTCTGGTGGATATTTATGATATGTCTGATAGGAAACAATGGAACATCATTGGCGTTAGAACAGTAGCTTTCTAGATGATGTATTGTGGCCAACTGAATCCCACTATTGTTGAATTGCCAGCCTCTATAGCTTGGGTGCATAATTCTTTTTGGCCATTCAACAGTATACTGAACCTTCTTCTTCAATAATTCCTGTGAGATCATTCATTTTCCCCATACTCATGGTCCATCCATGTTTTTAGGCTTTCCACTCTGGTGTGACAAACAAATTCTTGTAGACGAGCCATAGTTTATCAAGACTCAATAATGTCCCAAACAATTTCTTGATTAGCCAATTAGATCAAATGGACTGAGTGATGTTAGGAGGCATTAACAAAAATGCATCTGGTTTTAACGTGGTTTCAGAAGAATATAGAGAAATATCCTTGTGCACCCTAAATAAGTAGAATTTGCTATAGGATAAATATGCTTTTTGGATATTAACGTTCTGTTTTTTTCCATTATGTTTGGCAGATTTGGTTGCAATTTCAGAACGAATGGCAACAGTGAAGCATAAGATACTGATTTTATCTGGCAAGGGTGGGGTTGGCAAGAGCACATTCTCTGCTCAACTCTCATTTGCACTCGCAGCTATGGATTTCCAAGTGGGTCTGCTTGATATTGACATATGCGGCCCAAGCATCCCCAAGATGCTTGGCCTAGAAGGCCAAGAGATTCATCAGAGTAACATTGGCTGGTCTCCTGTCTACGTTGAGTCCAATCTTGGGGTAATGTCGATTGGGTTCATGCTTCCCAACCCAGATGAACCTGTGATTTGGAGGGGCCCACGCAAGAATGCGTTAATTAAGCAATTCCTGAAAGATGTTGATTGGGGAGAACTTGATTTTCTTGTGGTTGATGCCCCTCCTGGGACTTCAGACGAGCATATTTCTATTGGACAATTCCTCCAAGCGGCTGGATTAGATGGTGCTATCATAGTGACCACCCCACAACAGGTGTCTTTGATAGATGTCAGGAAAGAAGTGAATTTCTGCAAGAAAGTTGGGATAGAGGTTCTTGGCGTCGTTGAGAACATGAGTAGCTTATGCCAACTATTGTCAGATTTCAAATTCTTGAGGATGACAGATGCAGGTGAGCAAAATGATGTGACTGAGTGGGTATTGGAGTATATGAGAGAGAAAGCCCCAGAATTGCTAAATTTGGTCGCTTGCAGTGAAGTCTTTGATAGTAGTGGTGGCGGCGCTACAAAAATGTGCAAGGATATGGGTGTTCCGTTTCTTGGGAAGGTGCCATTGGATCCTCATCTATGCAAAGCAGCCGAAGAAGGTAGATCCTGCTTCACTGATAGCAGATGTGGGGTGAGCGCTCCTGCGTTGAAGAGGATCATAGAGAAACTGGTGGCAAGTGAAATGATGTCAAGAATGGATAATGGTGCCTAGGTGTTCAAAGTTTTTTTTTTTTGGGTGATATTTCCTTTTAATGCTTTCAGTTTTGAAAACAGTTTTGTTTTCCACATTATGTATTAATTTTATGAGCAGATGGATAAATACAGTAATAGTTGGTCACTTGCAATTCTTCTTCTTCTTCTTTTTTTTTTTTGTATAGAGAAAATTGATATGATGAAATTGTATTTTTTAACTCAGTAAATTAAAATATAATGAAAATAAGAATGATGGGTTTTTCGATAAAATATTTAATATTATGTCATCGCTGACACGTGATATTATTTATATAATAAAATAGTTTATAATCTAAATCTCAAAAGATAAACAAAATGACTTTTGCTATTCACGGTTGAGATCGTTTTAAATTTTTTTTTAAAGTTAATTTAACGGTAAATATTAACACCCTAAATTTAATAAAAAAAATAGACATTTAAGAGTGTGTTTGGAGTGACTTTTTAAAATTACTTTTAAAAATTATTTTTTATAAATATTTAAAAAAAAAATAGTGTTTAAAATTGTCCCACTACCACCACTGCTACCACCATCACCACCGCCTCCACCACTAACACCCCCACCACCACTATTCTCGCCACCGTCATCATAACCACCACTACCGTTGCCGCTGCGATTTATGCCACCCACCACAACCATCACCATCACCATCTCCTACCATTATCATTGCCGCCCATCACCTTTTACTCCTACTATAAATCGATGCTTAAATTACTTTATCTTTTCTTTATTTTTGTGATTTGATTTTAGATATATTACTCTGTGTTTTCAGGCACAGACAATAACTAATAATTTAATATTAAATTAACATACAAACAAGTAATATTATACGTGACAATAATGACATACTAGTGTTATAACAGAAATTACTTTTCAATTTGTAATAATACATGATAATAATGATGCTGTATTTTGAGAAAGACGATTTTTTTTTATTTTGATGGAATAATGCTATAGGAATTTAATTTCAGGGATCTTATTGGAAAATTTAATTTAATGCAGTCATTAAATTAAATTAGGTTGTGACATATGTTCAATTAACATTTTTTATTTTGATGGTGACAATGGACGCGAAAAGAACACGTGGCAATCAACATCAAACGTGGTGAGCGTTTGGAAGTTGAAAGTACGCAAAAGAGCTCAGCTGCGCAACCTGCGGAAACCTCACAACTCCACCTGGATCCTAATGCCTAAGCCTTAAATCCATCCACCGATCAAACAAAACAACGTTTGTCTTTGTCGTAGCCACTCTCTCTCTCTCTCTCTCTGCGTTTTTTACACACTGGAAGGCTCAACACTCAACGCAGAAGTTACAATTCCTTGATGTAAATTAAGAATTAGGGTTTTTACTCTAGTCTTACATCCTCAGTTGTGGATAGTGGTCACGAAAATGTATTTATCCGAAAAGCCTAGTCCGGTTGACTTCTATAAAGGCGGAGGAGGAGGAGGAGAGGAGGAGGAGGAGGAGAAGAAGAGAGAGAGATGGTGATTGAGGTCTCCTCCAATGGAGACTTGACACCTCACCATCCACTCCAGCACCAACACCAACAGATGATTCTCGGCGAAAGCAGCGGCGAAGACCACGAAGTGAAGGTTCCGAAGAAGAGGGCTGAGACTTGGGTTCAGGAAGAGACTCGGAGCTTGATCAACTTCCGCCGCGAAGTTGATGGTCTTTTCAACACTTCCAAGTCCAACAAGCATTTGTGGGAACAGATCTCCGCCAAGATGAGAGACAAGGGTTTCGATCGCTCCCCGACCATGTGTACCGATAAGTGGAGGAATTTGTTGAAGGAATTCAAGAAAGTGAAGCAGCAAGAGAGGGGGAGTGGTTCTGCTAAGATGTTGTACTACCAGGAGCTTGAGGAGTTGCTCAAAGACAGAGCTAAGAACGGTCCGTACAAGAGTCCTACTTCTTCCAAAGTCGATTCCTTTATTCACTTCTCCGATAAAGGTAGTTACTGATTATCTGTTCTATCTGTAGATTCTGGGATTATCCGATTTAATTATGTCTAACATTTTGAGGTTTCACACTTCTAATCGTGGTGATATTAGGGTGTTAGGTTGCAGATAGAGAATATATTTTCGCACTGCTTGAACTTGGAAGTTTTTTTTTTTTTTTTTTTTATCTTTCTCCTCTTTTTCACTGGAAGACTGAGGAACGGAGAAATAAAATGAAGGAGAAAACAGAAAGAATAGCTTATTTTTCTTTTGCAAGTAATAGAATTTCTTTCAAAATGTCAGGTGAGACCATACTGAAATTTGCTTTATTGGGTGAAATTACCATTAATTTGTTCAGGCCATCATTTTTTTAGCAATGGATGTTTATGGTTAGCTTTACATGTGCGCTTTTGCTCAGGGTTTGTTCGGGCCATTTCTTTGTTAGCAATGGATATTTTATGGTTAGCTTTAGGTGTGTGCTTCTGCTTGGGGTTCATGTTTCCTTGTTTAAGTAGTGATCTTATTCATAGGTTGGGGCATTGTTTGGTTTGGTTGAAATGCAATAGTGTATTAGGGTGTGGGGAAGCTCAGCAAGATGTAATACTTCAATGTGGACAAATTTGACCAATTCTGGAAAATAAAAATGGTTCAGCTATTTTTTGACAATAGATCTGACATTGCTTTCATGATACTCCTGCTTTCAAAGGAAACATATATTTTTCACTCCGTCACCTGCCGAAGGCATTTAGGATACCTGTGATGTTACTTGGTTTCTACGCGTAAGGATAGCAACAAGAAAGGTGTAATATGGTTATCTCCTGTCCCGGCCTGCCTAACAGCCTCCATCCCATACCACCTCCAACCCTACCTCCAATGGCCTTCTTCATGGTACACGAGTTGTAAGCATTAAACTGGCTCCTAATGTATCTCGCAATTTCCAATAATGGATACATCTTCAATTCCATTATTAGACTTTGACGAAATATTGTTAAAAACTTGAGAAAATAAAACGAATTGAATAACTCATGCAACTATAGGAAAAGTGGTTTTGAGTGGAAATGAAAGCACCTCTCTTTAACTTTTTTTTTCCCCCCCTTGGATTATTGACTTTTTTATTCTGTCAAGCATCCTCTAAATTGGGAAAAAAATAAGAGAAAACGATCTTTGCAATTTTTTGCGCCCCCATCCCAGTCGGGGCCACCGTGTGTTTAGTTGTCTGTGACCAACGAGGCCATTCTAGTAAGGGTGGGATGGGCCAAGTCACACACACATTTGGGTTTATTGCCATTTGCCACCCATATCATCAGGTACGAGCCGCCCTCTCCCCAAGTTTTGATACCTAACACAAGATGCTACTTATGCAGTAATCACTGGATGCTTATGGTGATTTCATTATCAAATGCCACCTCTAAAATTTTTCTTTCCTTTTGTTGTTGTAGTTGTAAATGTGAAATTAGCCACTTATGTTAGTAAATCTTTTCCTCTTTTTTTACTTGTACGAAATCTAGTCATGGAGAAAACTATTTTTTCTTTATTACTTAATTTGTTGAATAAATGGCTCAGAATTCAAGGGAGTAGTTCATGCAAGCTTGGACATTGTAGCCAAAAAAAAAAAAAAACTATTGTTCCATATTTTTTTTCTTAGTAACTCTCATGATTGGAAGTTGGACTTTTATCATGAAGGTCCTGGCACTACATCTGGTAACTAAGTGTGGTTTGTTATTGTGACTCAGGTCTTGAGGATGGCAATATCCCTTTTGGACCAGTGGAAGGTATCACACTACAAATCACAATATTGTTGTATTTTAGTAATTTTATAATACGTTGTCATTCATTTAGGCTTCTAGTATATTTCTCAACCTCACCTATGCCTGGACTCTTTATGATTCATGAGTCTCATGTATGGAATCGTCTCACTGCGGTGGACATGATGTATCTTATCAGATTAGGGCATGTGCATATAAAATATAAGCCACATGTATTTCATCATTACGTTTAATCATGATTCGTGGCAAGTTTTAATTATTAGCATCAATAGAGAATTGATATGATGCTTAAAATAGAATAATACAAAGGCTGTGATTTTCCTTTCCTAGGCGATTTTTCTCTCTCTTTCCATATCATTGTAGTTCTTTGTGATGCTATATTTATTTGCGCCAAATAGAATGGTGGTAGGAATAAGCTGTTTGAGTTGGCGATAATTTCATGGGTAGCTCCAAATTTTGTATCAGCAATGTTTTGTGTGGACTATCACGGTTTTGGAAGAAGTAAAGAAGTTACCCTTAGGGATTGTGCAACTTTTGCTATTATTTGGATGATTTGGTTAGAGAGGAATGCAAGTGTTTGAAAATAAGTACGAGGGGGTTGATGGTTTATGGAACTCCGTATCTACTTGTTGGCTTCTTTTTGGGCATCTATTTCGAACGATTTTGCTCCAACTCCTCTCTTGAGTATTGTGACAAGTTGGCATGCGGCTTGTGAATGAACCGTTTTGGTTTTTTACCTATTGTAACTTTCTGTAGTGTTGCTTTTTGTGGATGGTTTATGGACGCCTTGTCCATGTTACCATTATGCTCTATTTTTTTTTCTTACATTAATAAAATTGTTGTCTTCTATCTAGAAAAGAATAGAATGGTGATAGGGTTGCAAAATTAGTGAGCAGGATCAAGCTTCTGGTCTGGACTCCATACTAGGAATTTACTCAATTTTTTTTGTTTTGAAGAGATCTTGTCACTTTACTTTCAACTCTCCCTTCACAGTAAATTTTGAAAATATGGACTGTTAGAATGAAGTTAATTGTTGTCCAAAATCATTTATTCTGAAAATTGAGAAAAAAAGTCAGGAGTGGGATGTTTTGCCACATGAGGCAAAAATCTTCAACTAGTGGCATCACCACTTTCCAACTGGTTTAGCACTCCGCCAAAATTTTTTAAGTAATTGTATCAACTGAGGGCAAGAGAAAGTTATGAGCCTTTAGTAGGGTGAAGACATGTCATTATGCTTTACTTGGGTTTACGTTTTGATGCTTTTGATGCCTATTTTTTGGTGCTGAGCTAGACATAATATGATTTACCTGTATGGATTTGGGAATTGCAACTTTGTTTGCAAAACAAATTTAAGCACCCACCCTGTGTTTCACCTGTTGGAAGTATATGGGAAGGGCTTAAAACAGGGTCGATGCCGGTTCGAGAGGAAATGGTGACCAGGGACATTGTTGGAGCACTTGACCCGGCCCTTCCCTGGTTATATGTTTTCATTTACTAGTTTTTTGTCATTTTTCTCTAGTGACGTTACTCATAAAAGGTGGGTTAGGGTTTCTTCATGGGTACAATACACTAGCGTTACTCTCTAGCACGCGCCCTCTATTCACTTCGTCATCTCATCTTGTTGTAACCACCATCACCATGGTGGTTGTTTATAGGCGCAACCGTTTCCGCAATCGTCAACGAATATATGCGGTGCCACCATCATCACACATCAGGAATGTGACTTCAGAATTATCAAACGCCACAGTGGTTGTTTATAGGCGCACTCGTTTCCGCAATTGTGGACGAATATTTGCGGCGCCACCATCACTGCACATCATGAATGCGTCTTCAGAATCAAGTTTGATAACATTTCCATTTTTCCCTATAATCTATAACCAGATCTGGTCTTTTTTGTACATGATTTACATCTATTTATGATTATTTGAGTCAT